TCGCTATAGCAAAATGGTCGCTATAACCAAGGTCGTAATAAATGAAATCCGCTGTATATGTATAATATCAGACTACAGCCAGTATATCGCCATCTACCGATAACAGTAGTATTTCAAATTTTTGACAATACACAACATATTGACTGCATGAAAGGTCAGTTAAAGACGTATATTAGCAACAGAAACAGGAGTTAAGAAGGATAGAGGTAGATCAAGCCTAACTTACTGTTCCTAAATAGTCAAGGATGTATGCTCAGAATATGAAAAATTGGAGGTGCGTGTCAAGCAGCCCTGGGCTGATGATCTGGTGAAGATGCTTTAGTTTTTAACTTAATTGTCAGATCTCTATACAAGTATAAAAATCTATTAAAACTTGTCAAATTAAACAGAACTTAACTTGATAAAAAAAATATTGGCAACAAGTTTTAGTGTGGTCAATCCGCTGATAAAAGGAGATGAACTATGTTTTTTCGGTAAATTTTATTGTAAATTTGAAGTCTTTTAATGAATTATTTTATAGATAACGTAAACCTATACCATTCGCTTATTTTCTCATAATTCTTTTTATGACGAAAATTTTTTACTTTTAACGTATAAAATATGTCTCTCCATTTAATTTGCTGTTCTTGAATCCCTATTTTCGACGACTTCAATCTATTCTACTACATTACAACTAATGAGTTCTTTGTAATTTGCAGTTCTCGAATCACTTTTAAATATTAATTCTCAACCTCATGCTGTCTTTTTGATATAATCGTCTTGACGATTGAAGCATTTGTTACATCTGTGAACACACTTTCCAATACCCTCTCAATAAAATGTTACCGCCACCTCCAATTGATTTTTGACATTACATTTGTCTTGAATCTTATCGTTAGTTTGGAAGCGGGAAAGACTGGGAATAGGTTTAAGTTATTCGACTCTAGATCAAAGAGCCATTGAAAACAACCAAGAGGCATTCTGATTTCTGGAGTTGTTCTGATCCACGACAATACCCGTCCTCACAGTGCTGGTGTAACCCAACTTCTTTTTGAGCAATTTCAAAGCAACATTTTCGACCTCCCAACCTAGTGGTGCGGCTTCCTTTTTTTGCCCGGATTGAAGAAGTGACTAGGAGGGTAACATTTCCAAACTTAAGAGTAGCTTAATGATAATGTAGCGATTTATCTAAATTCTTTGGTGGCAACGTTTTATGGAGAGCATATCGAAAACATTGTATAAAAGTACAAGAAGTACCTCAGTTGTAAAGATAATTATGTCGAAAAGTAATATGGCCTAATGAAGGTTGAAAAGAAAAAAGGTTCTCGTATAACTTATTTACTTTTAGGTTTTTATTAAATTGCTTATTTATTTATACAGCTCTTTTACTGAATGTTTAAATAATATAACTGTGTGGTACTGCCCGTACTAGTTAGGCCCAAAATTCACTTCAATTCAGATTGTACGATAATTTTCATGCATTCAAAATTTATTTTATTCTTACCCTCTCAGACAAAATCACGAAGACTTTTTTTTATTCGCGAATATTTTTTTTCTTTTGCTCACAGCGCTATAAACATTTTTGTTATACGCAGTGTTAAATTTAGAAGAACGTGCCTGCAACAAAAGAACGTTATCATGCTAGTATGTAGGTTTTTCCTCGGCAGGTAACATCCCTTCGTGTTGGTCACCAGATGGGTCGATGGTCTTCCCATCCACAATTTTGTGATTGTAGTCATGTAGTCACTAACCATAGCCTAAGGTCAAAAACACCCCACTAACATACCTCCACCCCCTATATCTTGTTATATTTAAGTATTTTTCTATCTATTATTGATTTTTAATTTAAAGGGTGGGGGTAGTTCAGATCTGTCTTTTTACACGATTAATACGAGTAATTTACTAATTATAGTGATTATTTTGAAAGGTACGATAATTTTGCTCCATGTATGATAATTCTACGCTACAGGTACGATAGTTTCCTCGCTTCAGGTTGTGAACACTGCTTTAATCACCACCTGGGACTTCAGTCATTTGCTACGTTTTGAACACGTCGTTGTTAACTTAGGAAATGCTTCATGAGGAATAGAGACAAAGGGAAGGGGAAGGGAAAGGGAAAGGAGATAATCGAACAATAGTAAGCGGTGCAGCGGCTAGAGGTTGCTCTTGGGTACGCAAAATATCAGGGTCGGCTTTATAACTGTCTGGTTGGAATTATATCTTTGAACAAGCGTCTTGCTTTCCTTACTTCCTGAAAATTTGAACTTTCTTTAAAGTCCGATGCTGGCAATATGACCAAATTTTGCTTGTCTGCATCTCTTTCTGTTACACATCAATTGGTGTAATGTTACACCTTTTTCTTTATTAGTGTCCGCTGCAATTCTTGCCGGACATCTCTCTTCTATGTTTACAATATCCCTTATGACGTCTGTCGTGAGTAAAAGTAGGCATTTTGCTCTGTTTAATTACTGAGTTGAAAGAAGAAAGTAAATGCCACAGTCTTTTTGGACACCGTGCCAAATCTGAACGTCCCAACTATAACTTCATGCTGTACGAATTGTGCTATTTACGTTATTTGAAAAGGGCTTCCCTAATATTGTTTTAATTAAGCTATCTTCAAATGTTTCGAAAGGTTTATGAAAAATGAATCAAAATGCGTATTGTTATTTATGTTTTCTTCAGTCAAAAGAAGGCGTAGAACAAATTTTTAAATTTAAGTTCCAATTTAGCGACATTAAAATGTGAAACTGTTTCTTCTTTAAAAGACTTTTTTAGTCTATTTGTCTGAATCAGAACACCTGCATTATGACAAGTAACCACCCGATGCACTTGGAATGTTTACCACAGTCAATTCAAGGAGAGCAACCAAAGGAAACACCTGTTTGCAGAGTCTGGAACATCGAACATGGATACGTCTGGAACATCAAAAATGTCACACCTGCCATCTGAAATAAGACTTCTGGCATTTATCTGACAATGAGCGATACTAGAAACATTATACAAATGCAAACAGTACTTAGTGACGATTAATTAGTATCTAATAATACAATAACAGTTACAAAGTATTCAACAATATTGAGACGATAGATAGATAGACGACAGAAAATGCGCAAAATTCTACAGAGATTTCCCTGTTAATCAACTATCTCTATTTTTAACAAAAAAAAGTTATATTGGCTCACATCCGGTGGAATATCCGGTGTACTGCATCTGTATAGCTTCCAATGCTGAAATATCAAACTTTACTCCATACAGTATATACAGGGTGTCCCATTTATAATAATAAAAAAAAAACATGGTACAGTAGTAATAATATAAGAAACGAGGCACGGGTCATTTTAATATAAAAGGCAGATGGGTGGAAAGAATATTTAGAAAACAAATGCGCAAGCCATGCATTAGGAGATATATCAGAGAAGGAAGGAGGGTGTGGAGATGGGTGAGCTAAGTTATGCCATAATGAGAGAAGAGTTCGATGTAGTATTAAAAAACTTAAAGGATAATAAGGCGCCAGGGGTAGATAGGATACAGAGAGAAATTCTAAATCATGCAGGCCAAGAGGTTAGAAATCGTATATTTCAGCAAGTTAGTCACATTTACGAGACGGGAAGTCCTAGAGGATTATAAACGGAACATGTTAATATCCATACCTAAAAAGAGAGACATGGATAGGTGCAAGACATTTAGCACAATTAGCTTCACTTCCCATGCGCCAAAAATCTTAACTAGAATTGTACAGAAGAGGATGAAAAAAAGGACGGAAGAACTATTAAGGGAAGATCAATTTGGATTCAAAAGAAATAAAGGAACGCGGGAGGTAATTCTATCTTCACGCATAACAACAGAGAAAACTATGAAAACGAAAGAAAAGAGCGCGTATATAGGACTTAGATTAAAAAAAAGCTTTTGACAATGTTAAATGGGACAATAGATGTTAAATATACTTAAAAATGTAGGGATGAGTTACAAAGATAGAAGAGTGATATTTAGTTTGTATAAAGAGCAACAGGTAGTTATAGAGCTGAAGCCGCAACGTAGAAAAGAAATATTCAGATTCACACTGTCACCGTATTGGTGTTACAGGCGAATAATGAGGATAGCGTGGATAGAGAAGGTCAGAAATGAAAAAGTATTAAAAATAATAAGAGAACACACGACTCTATGGAAGTCAATAAGAAATAGACGAGATATGTTGGTAGGACACCTTCTCAGGCATGAAGGTCTAGTCAGAGAAGTTAAGAGGAGTAGAAGTTACCTAGATTAGATTACTGTTCGCAAATAGTTAAGGATGTGAGTTGTTCTAGTTCTGGACCGAGCGGCATGGCCTAGAGGTTTAGACCATTGCTTAGCATTCGGGAGGACGGGGGTTCGATTCCGGGTCAGTCTGCCTTGGTCCAAGTTTTTCTGTAGTTTCCTTGGATCACTTAGGCAAATGCTGGGGCAGTAATATTCCACAGATAGTCTTTTATTCTCTTCTGTTTTCATTTCGTCCGTCTCAACTATCTCACCCGAACCACCACCCACCCATTTCTACGATTCCTGAAAGCAGACTGAAGAGGGCCTTCCGCCCTACCTTCCCGCATAGTCCGGAGGGACTGCCCGCCCACCAGCATTACTGACTGGTGGGAATGAAACACCCAAGTTTTTTTTCTAGTTTTGGGGAAATGCGAAGATTAGCCCAGGATAGGAAATAGTGGAGATGCGTGTCCAACCAGTCTTAAGACTGACGACCTTATGATGACGATAATGATGATGAATATTTCATGCAAAAAGCAACAAATCCTTACAAAGTACTCAGTTCGTTTTTTTCAAGACAGAGTTTTCCTTAAACAGACTGACATACAAAAGCTTTTACAACGTTTCAGGATCGTTTAGTTGGTTTTAATTACGTATTAAGATTAAGATAAAGAAAAGTAATATACAGACAGGGGTTACTATTATATTCTATTAGTTACATAGATTAATTTTATTTTCCATCAACTATGATAAATTAATCTTATTGTTTTCTTTGTTTGTTACAGGTTTTTAGTGATGCAGACCAAAAATATTAACTTGGACCATGTGGCAGTCATTGACGATGATGCAAAGGTATAATTTACAATAAATAATTAATCGCTTCATTGTATGTAACATATTATAATTAATGTGACCCCTACCGGGCTATAAAGCACTGTCGCAAGGCCAACACATGTTGGATAATGAAGATATATTTGATACTCATTTAAAACTATGACGAAAATTACTTTTTTCCAATTAATAAACCTTTGTACTGGCCGTGGTAATTAATGACTGCGCTTCAGGATGCACATGGAAGATAATTATTCAAAATTAGATAGTGACGACTGAAAACCAAGAACACATTATTTCATTTTGACGGGTTTCAAAATTATGCAAGTAACCAATCAAGAACTGTTTCCTATTTCCACATATTTCTAACTAATAAGGTTCGTTTTACAAATATTTTTCATTTTCAAATTCGTAGGTACAGTTTAACAGGTTTATTTTTATACAGTTGAAAAACTTTTCCCTTTTTGTAGGTGGAACTATCGGGTTGTTCGGAAAGTCATTTCGTTTTTTCCCGACAGAGGATTTAATTGTATTCTTTTGCACCCAACTTCACATTTAAGCCGTATAATTTTTATATGCTTTGAGAGCTCATATAGCAAGGCTTGTGTGTGAAAAATTCCAATTAATTCTACGCAGTAGTTTTTGGTTGGTGCCCTTTTAAATATGGAGAGCGATAAGCAGCATTTTCGACATATCTTACTGTTTTACTACAGAAAGGGTAAAAATGCTGTTCAAGCCAGAAAGAAATTGACTGATGTGTATGGAGAAGGTGTGTTGACAGTACGCCAGTGCCAGAACTGGTTCGCTAAATTTCGATCCGGCAATTTTGATGTCGAAGATGCACCACGTTCGGGAAGGCCGGTTGAAGCTGATAAAGACGCGATAAAGGCATTAGTTGATGTGAACCGGCGAATAACAACACGTGAGATCGGATTGAGGTTAAATTTATCAAATTCAACAGTTTATGACCACTTGAAAGGCCTGGGATTATCCTCGAAGCTCGATGTATGGGTTCCCCATGTTCTCACAGAGAGAAATCTGTGTCGCCGCATTGACGTCTGCGATTCGCTTCTCAAACGTCACGAAAATGATCCGTTTTTGAAGCGCATCATCACTGGGGACGAAAAATGGGTTGTATACAACAACGTCAAACGCAAGAGGTCATGGAGCAAAAAAGATGAACCGGCTCAAACCATTTCCAAAGCCGATATTCACCAAAAAAAGGTGATGCTGTCTGTTTGGTGGGATTTTAAAGGAATCGTTTTTTTTGAGCTTTTACCGGATAACACAACGATTAATTCGGAAGTCTACTGTCATCAGCTGGACAAACTGAATGATGCACTTCAACAGAAAAGGTCAGAACTAATCAACAGGAAAGGTGTAGTGTTTCACCAAGACAACGCGAGACCTCACACAAGTTTGGTCACTCGCCAAAAGCTTTTACAGCTTGAATGGGATACAATGCTACACCCACCATATTCTCCAGACCTGGCACCATCGGATTATTATTTGTTCCGGTCACTCCAAAATTTTTTAGACGGTAAAACCTTCACCTCAAATGAGGAGGTCAAAAACCTCCTCGATCAGTTTTTTGCCAGCAAAGACCAAAAATTTTATGAGCGTGGAATTATGCTACTACCAGAAAGATGGCAAAAGGTGTTGGACCAGAACGGTCAATATATAATTTAATAAAGTATTTGTTTATTATACGAAAACTGTCTTTCATTTCCACAAAAAAAAAACGAAATGACTTTCCGAACAACCCTATATATAAAAGCGATTTAAAAGATATATGTGAATAAGAACAACAAAAAAGCGTTTTGGAGTTTACCATTACAATTTTGAAGTGTCGAAATCCATGTTTAAATATGAATAAGGAAACATTACAATCAATAGTACTCAATTTGTCAGAAGGAGTCAATGTTACAAAAAGTTTCTTTGTTCATAAAACGTATATTCATTGGATATGTAACTAAGCAAACATCCAATATGTTTTCGTTTGAATGGAACATTTAATTAAAAATCGCTGATTTTGATATATTCGAAGTGCAACTAATTAATTGCAATAAAGTGGATGGATTTAAATATTTATATTCAGTGTTTATTCTGATTGGTAGTTGGCGCATTCTAACCGTAAAATTTTGACGTTTGAAGTTGTATTATTTGAGCAGTATTTTCCAGAATAGCATGTATGATGTTCTGTATACCATCAACCATTTGGATAATCACACAATCCTCCGTACACCAGAACATTATTATATAGTGTGTTTTTGAAATAAGTAGCAAGCTTGCAAGAGGTGATTAGGCGCTGTAAAACAAGAAAATTAAATGTAAATGTTTGGTGCTACGAAAGTCCTTCGTTTTCGAAAAAAAAAACCTATTTAAAAGTATAGGCAAGGGTCAGTCCGGTCCTGGTAGGATTACACTGGGAAATTGTGCTGTACCGCCTTCTTATGTGTAATTTTCTACTCATGTACTGGGTGTCATTAGTTAGGTTACATTAAGTTTAATTGACGATGTTTATTGTTACAGCCACCCTAGAGTAATCCTTCTTTCTTTTACCGTTATAGGTTTGTATTACGTATGTAAGTACACCATCGAAGTCATTAGAAGTACAGGCCTGACGCTGGAAGCTGGCGGAAATTTTAAAATGGCGTGGATGCGCGGTGGCAAAAGTAGGCAGTTTTAGGTAGTGTTGCCCAAATTCAGTCTTGGTCTTGCAGTCTTGGTCTTGTTCTTGCGTTTTTGCAAGACCAAGACCAAGAACAAGACCGCGTATTTTTAGCAAGACCAAGACCAAGACTGACCGTGCAAGACTTGAGCAAGAACAAGACATAGCCTGCAAGACTCTTGCGTCTTGCAGCTAGGACTTAGCGCTATTTCACTGAGTAGTTAGGTGTAACAGTTCGGTGTATAGGTAGGTACGCTTAGGAATTCTATGAGACGCAAAAAACTGTATCAAAGAATATGAAAAACTGGACCTATGCGCATTACGACTAATACCATAAACATAGCGAATAAAAAAATTATTAAAATCAAACTGAGTGCATGCATAGTTATGTTTTAACCATCGGCACTTTGATAATGCGGCATCAAAGGTTTTGTACTTACTTCTCAAAGAAATTTGCCGCTTTTCGGAAGTACATGGTTATGATACACGCGCCGGCGGCTTCTTTTGAAATCTAAAACAATCGTTGCCGCCACGCCGAAATCATAACATTTGACACTATTTGATTGCCGCCATAGGGTGTAGGTATACTCATGCAAAATAATTTCGAATTTTTTTACACGCTTTATATTATTGTTTGATTTGCGGCGGCATCCTTATCATAGAGCCGGCACGTGGCGAGGCGGCGCGGTAGAAAGCAAGGATCATAAATGTTTATTAAGAAACAGTTACTTCCATGGAAAACGACATATAGGTCAGTTGATTTTTCGAATTTCTTATCAAATCTTCAGTTATTTATTAATCTGCTTGATCTTTACTATGGCTATATTCATTCAAGCTCACAATGTTCCAATTCTAATACGTTTTTCTAGGATTTAAAGTAAACTTTAATAAATAGTAATAGACTAATAGGTAATTGCAAGACTTGCAAGACTCTTGCTGCAAGACCAAGACCAAGACCAAGACTGGGAGCGCAAGACCAAGACCAAGACCAAGACCAGGTGTATTGGCGCAAGACCAAGACCAAGACTGGCTAAGTCTCGTCTTGTTCTTGCGTTTGGGCAACACTAGTTTTAGGTATAAAGATTGCAGCCTTCATTCTTCAGTATTCCTATCAGGAGCGTAGATTAAATATTTAAAAGTAGGGATCATTGAGCAAGTAATAGACATACAAACAGAAGAACTAATTGTTGATGTTGGTGACAGCGATAGAGATTCCCATGATGAAAGTGAATGTGAAAACTAACTGTAAAACAAAAGCAATAGGTTAATTTTTTTCTTTTTGATAAGTCATGTTTTTACATTATTTTCTAATACGCTACTGTCCTATCTGTATTAATATTATAATTTACGCCTACTGAAAGCTTATCTGTGTATCGGTTCCAAGTGTCTTACCCAAATAGGTCATAAATGGGCAAGTGCCTGCGCGCCCGCTCGCCAGCTTCCTTCGTCAGACCTGTAGGTCAATGTGCCAGTGCCATAGGTCGCAATGGGCATCTTAGCCGTTCTAGAACAGTCACAGTTTACATTTTTCATCGATGCCAGTTATTATCGTAATTTCTCTATACGTTCCTAATTCACGCCCAGGGCCGGCTTCGGATTGCAATTTCGTCAGGTTTTTTATCCCTTAACCACGCTGATTGTGATTCTCTATTATATTTGGTTAACACTCTCCACAACTAGCTGTTATGTTAACTAGGCCTGATTTTTTTTTTCGAAACTCGGAAACTAAGTGAACTGTAGTACATGTTACCATGTACTGTGAATTATGGTTTTCCTAATTGAAAACGTTAATATGTAGAGACGATGATAGAGACCTATTCCTGAGGAATGGCTATAAATAAAATTGGGAACGGGGGTGCCACTTACAGACATCTGTATGTACTTATGTAGCAAGGACAATTAATTTACATGTATGTGTAGTATAAAAGATTTCATGAGGATTTAGGCTTTTAACTATTTCATATTAAAAAGGACATTGGTTTTAAATTATTGTATTACTCTTCTAACACACAACTTACTAAAATTGCAACGAAATCATAGATGCGTACTAATCGAAATCGTTACCAGCTGTCAACCTGGTCTCGCCGCAAATAATGACGTAAACTAACTGAATTTTAAGTTGCATTTGTACGTTCCTGCCTTCCAGTATTTTAAGTCGAATTTACCAATCCCGTCTGTCAGGATTCGATCCGGTGCCTTCGATTGTTATTCTTGATTGATTAAAGTTTCAATAGTTTGCTTTTGAAGGGTCACTTTATTCTGGTAACAAATGTACCTGCCCGCTTTTGTTTAGATTTCTCTGGAGAATTCCTAAACATGATTGAAAAAAGGAACAATTTAGGTCCAAGAT